CTATAAACTAAGTGAAAAAAAACAACATTTAGTAAAAAGTGTGTAGTTTTTGGAAACCGGTTTTCTAGAAAACCACCCTATAAAGGCCTACATTCTAAGTAAAACTGGTGTTCTACTGAACCCCAAAAAAGGTTTCGCCGTGAGGAAAAAGTCTTCAAGCATGTTGAAAGTTTAAAAAACACAATAAAAAATTCTACGAAACCATTAAAGGATCTTCCCGTGTATCGGGGGGGGGGGGAGAACCTTCTCTTACGAAACCTTGAGGGTGGGCGTTGATGTGGGTGTGATATTTGTATACCCCACACCCACACCCACTCTCAATCACCATTATTTGCCATTTGAAAAAATTAATCGGAATTTTTATCAGCGATTACGGAACAATATTCAGTATATATTTCGATGTACTAACAAGTCACGTTTACTATGAGCGAAAATGACTGACTATATAAGAAAATATCGATAAATTTATTCAGTTTAGTTCTTTTGACCCGAAAAGAAATGTCATTTTGGCATAATTCTCACTAAAATATTGCTCATTTAACAATACAAAGAACATCATATCACACAATAAATTGAACGAAAACAAAAATAAGACTACTGTTATTGACTAGGAATTCGTAAAAATATAGTTATCTATGTCAACACTTGTCAACGTCTCTGCGTTGTTGGATAAAAAGAAAAGTATTTCTACTATGTTCTATAAAACCATCGACCATCAATTAAATTATGAAGACAATTATCTCGTATGAAAAGCGGTTTCATATACGATGCTCCATATTCTTTATATGCAATTTTATGTGATTGTCTTGGTATTTTAACATTTCTCCCTAGCCATGTAACAGATTTTAATGGATAAATATCTGAAATTAATCTTGATTGATATTTAAGACTATAATCAGATAATTGTAAAACTGGTTTTACTCCATTTTTATCGTAACGTTTCCACAACCAGATATCAACATGTGGTTGTCGATCAGATTTTTCATTTACAGATGATAATGAGAATAATTTTCTACCAGGATAATATTCAACATTAAAATCATTTTTTTGAAATGTTTTAATGAAAAGTTCAATATTGTTTAATTCTGAATGAATATGATTGGTTTCAAATGGCCATTCAATTGATAAATCAACATCTTGATCCCATATGTTATATGATTCATTTCTCAAAACATTTAACAATGATTGACAATCAGGCCAATAAACAATTGATAAATCATCTAACATATCCATTATTCGATGAGTTAATTTTATATTTTTCTTTGAATATTTTGCAGTTACAGCACATTGACCATGATGATAATAAACTTCCAATATGAAAAGAATTGATAAGATTAAAACTAATATAAATAATAAAATAAAACGAATGAATCCATTTCGTTTATTGAATATAAAAGGAGTGTTTCTTCTTTCTTTAATTGCTTTAGAAAATTTCCTAAATAAAAAAGAATACAGATCTTATCAAAATTTGTATATAACAATAAGAATCACAATATAAGATCGGTTATTTTTATTGGCGATTTACCTGAATATCGATCGTATGATAAAAGCCATTCGCATCATGGTGTATATAGTTAACGTTCAACCTACATTTGAAGATATTTTCTTGAACACGTGGTTAGCACTAATTTTTTTACAACTGAATACGTAGACAATAATTTACCTTAAACAATGTAGTTTTTGTATACCCGTAAAAGAGGGTGTGGGTGTGGGTAGGGTGCAGACGAGGGTGTGACGAAGGGCATGAGTTAGGGTTTGGTGGGTGAGTTCTATATCTATAACTCATCCACACCCACCCACAACCATACCCACCAGCCTACAGCAACACCAACTCACACCCACCCAGAATCATGTCTCAGATGTCTTTTACAAAATGTCCTTGACGAAATGTTTCCCGGGTTTGATCCTCAGAAAAAATGCTCTTTAGATTTCTTCCTTTAAAAAATGTTCTTTGAGGTCAATGTCCTTAATAAAAATGTCCTTTGGAAATTGACCTCGGTATGAAAATGTCCTCTATCCTTGAATGGAAAGATTTGGTATAAAACGTGTCGAAAATATAGATGACGCTATAATTCGAATATACATTTGTAGCGGTTAAATTATATAGATAGAGGCGGGTTG